TTGTGTTTTGGGTGTTTGTTGTGTTTTGGGTGTTTGTTGTGTTTTGGGTGTTTGTTGTGTTTTGGGTGTTTGTTGTGTTTTGGGTGTTTGTTGTGTTTTGGGTGTTGTGTTTTGGGTGTTGTGTTTTGGGTGTTGTGTTTTGGGTGTTGTGTTTTGGGTGTTGTGTTTTGGGTGTTGTGTTTTGGGTGTTGTGTTTTTTGGTGGTTTTTTGTCTTGTTTTGCTGGTTGGTTTTTGGTTTTTTTGTGGATTTTTGTGGTTTTTTGTCTTGTTTTGTTTTGGGTTTTTTGTTGGTTTTTTTTTTTTTTGGTGGTGGTGTTTTTTAATGTGTTTACCTGTCAGAAAGCACAAGGATTCACTCTTGTTGAAGATTTAATGCTGACAAAACCAGCAGGATTCATTTCATCTGGGTTTTCTCATCCAAAATTTGTTTTTCTGGTTGTACAGCTCCCTTTAAGAATGAGGTCAGTTCATCCCATCCAGGACTGGTGTTTTAAGGCAGGGGAAAGATCTGCTTGACGTTTATTTGTGTGCATTGTTTACAGGGGCAGAGCTCTTAAATAACTCCAGAAAGCAAATACCCCTGCTGTGAGGTATTTTTGGGACATTTTTGTTGCATTTGAGCTGTCAGTGAGGTGTGTGTATTACAAAAGGAAGTTATTTTGCAAACTGAGATAAATCCATGAGTGATGCTCATTTCTCTCCCCTAATCCTCCCTGCAGGATCCCCGGGGGTCTCGGATGATAGAATGGAATAACCTGAAGCCATTTTGTTGTGGTAAGTTCCAGATTATTTATTTTTTTCCCCTCTTTGTGTTGTGATTTGCCTTTGCTTCTGCTTCCACTGAGTGGTGTCCAGTGAGGCTTGGAAGGGGCTGGAGAGTGACAGAGCTCAGAGAATGCTGTTTTCTTTTTCAGGCATTGTCAATATGACTTTTCCCCTCTCTGATCAGCCAGTGTTTGGGGAATGGCTCATCTTTGCAGAGATGCAGGGGCACACCTACAACAAATCCTTTGAGGTGCAGAAATATGGTGAGTTGATCCCAACTCTGGTGCATTTGGAAGAGCAGAACACTGAGAAATGCTTTCATTTGAGATGAAACACCTGAAACATTTGAAATGCCATGAGGAAAAATTCCTTAGAGCCATGCATTTCAGGGATGTTAATTGGGAGCTTTGCTGAGGTCACCTTGCCAAGGTGATTTTTGGTTTGTTGCTGTTGTTGATTGTCCTGGTTAGAAAAGCCAGGTCTCTGTTAAGGAAGGCAGGAGCCTCCCCTGAAATGGAAAATGCAAACCCCCTCCCTCCTAATT